GATCCATTGTACATTTGGCGTTGGATTGTATTTTTTCTGTTACTTTCGAGTCATTTTCACGTTCGCAGTGTATACCATAAACTAAATAGGATTTTCATCGAAGGGATCTGTGTAAACTGTAAAGTCTTTTGATCAGAATTAATTGAAGTCTATAAAATTCGACTTTATCCACATTTTTAGACCAAACATCATGATTTATGCAGCGTCCCAATTACTACATATGTGTATCAGTACAAAGTGCATGTGAATTTTGTCAGCTCACATGCTCACTGCGTTCAACGTTGTGCTGTATGTCTAAGGCGTAGGATTTTGTGAACAGTCACATTGTCTACAATGTAAAAAGAAAACACTCTGATATTTCATATTTACTTCATAGTGTGTTATTGCTTGATCTGAATAAACAGTTGAGTACTTCCGTAATACCTTGATTGTCGTTCTGCAGCTTATCTCCGATATATTAATTAAGTTATTGGAAATGAGTTTTTCATTCACTTAATGATTAAATCTATATTAAATACTCTAACAATTCCCTCAGAGGTTAGATTTACGTACAACTTAAAAATGTTATTTGGAAACTGGTATTTCAACAAATATGTACATGTATTTCTTTATAGTATGTAAAAAAGGTAGTTTCTACTCCTGCTTAACGCTCAGCAATTTAGGAGTGGGACGGCTGGTTTGCCCGTTGTCAGTATAATGTGACCGGGTGGGGGTCCTGCTGGGTGTCTGCGGCATTATGTTTCAGTGAGGTAGCACTATTAAGTCGGCATCAGTTCTGCGCTATCACAAGGAGACAAACACGAACATATCACAGCCTCCCAAAACACACACGCATACACTACTAGACTGGCCACCGTCTCTAGAATATTTAATTATTAAGAAAAAAGTTTAACTCAAAATATTTTGATCACTTCGGTGTCTGATTCTAGCCTAAGTTCTAAACTAGCGGGATATATGCTAGTTGTAATGAATAGCTGAGAAATTCTTCATTAAATCTTAGGGGCTGGCAGCCAGTTTAATACACTACACGAATACAACCTTGCACACAGGGGAGACCGTCTTTAAATGACCATAGCTGTTGATAGGATGTTAAACAATACTAAACAAAACCAAACCAAACTTTATAGTCTACATAAGAGTCGCTCTGATATATAACCTTACTATCCTATTTCAAGTCTTAATCTTAAAAGACGACACAAAACTGGATTACTCCACAGCTGAACTTGCGTGCTTTTGTCTTCTAGAAAAACATGTTTAAATTTTACTAATGTTTAGAAGTTCAAAACATTAAACGGTCTTTGTGTCGCGTGATTATGTAAGGAGTTGCCAAGTGGCGTTTCCCGGACCTAACCCTGCGATAACAATACGTAAACAAAACATATTTTTAACTATTACGAATGAAGATAGGGAAAACCGGATATTTTGATTTATTGATTCATTTACAAAACTCATAACTTAGAAATTTATCATATTATAGAACCAGAACGAATTTAAAGCATGCTAATAACTGTATTTTTTCAGTGGTTTATAACTTGAACACACGGTCACACCATAGCAAGTGTTGTTATTTACCACAGCAGACGAGACCCTTGCAGTGGTGTGGACAATAATATGATTACTATGTTAAGTTACGCTGCAATAATCTCTCAAGCCATGATCAGTATTTCATGTTTTATTGCCCTGTTCCCTGTTCTCACCAACAGTGCTTTCCACTTAACTATATTGTCAGCACTCCCCTCCTCTGGTCAGTTGACATACGATATGATCAGAAATATATCTGAGGTGCCTAACGGGGAGGGGTGTATTGTGTGTCTGACTGACATTTCTGCGGGAAGTAAGCGTTTTGTCAATTAACAATGTTATAGTCATTGATTCGTCTGATATGAACGGGTCTGTGAACCTTTGAGGAAACCATAATATCTCAATGACAAGGATTCCACAAAATATATTTATAAAACTAAGGCAACCCTTGTAGAAGACAATTAATAAGGTGTGGTTAGGCTATGTGAGAAAGTTAGAATAAAGATCAACATTCATAATTGTCTCTTCCCTCCTCTATATTATTACTATTACGCAATTATTATTTGATCTACAGGCAAAATTAGTAAGTTACTTACTCTTCAAAATATAATACACATAAGCTACTGAATGTAAATAAGCAGCACTAAGATAATCAAGTGAATATGCTATACCCCGTGTCTATACCATGTGTCTATATCTAGCTGTGTGGTTACGGAATGAGAAGCCAGTATAAAAATGCAACACATTTAAAAAATACTCTCAATTACTTTCAAAGTTTATCTTCATGTGATATCGATTAAATGGGTTGGATCAAAACAGGTTACTGATTCATCGATTGTATATATCACGTGATATTCGTATCTCAAACACGTTTGGTATGAAATGAATGTTGTACAACACGTGAAACAGGTATAATAGTTATGTAAAGTCACATAATCTACCACATACCCCTGGACAATCGACAACGATCCACAACGTACCCCTGGACAATCGACAGCGATCTACAACGTACCCCTGGACAATCGACAACGATTTACAACGTATCCCTGGACAATCGAAAACTATCAACAACGTACCCCTGGACAATAGACAACGATATACAACGTACCCCTGGACAATCGACAACGATCTACAACGTAGCCCTGGACAGTCGAAAACGATATACAACGTACCCCTGGACAATCGACAACGATCTACAACGTACCCCTGAACAGTCGACAACGATCTACAACGTACCCCTGAACAGTCGACAACGATCTACAACGTACCCCTGGACAATAGACAACGATCTACAACGTACCCCTGAACAATCGACAACGATCTACAACGTAGCCCTGGACAGTCGACAACGATATACAACGTACCCCTGGACAATCGACAACGATCTACCACGTACCCCTGAACAGTCGACAATGATCTACATAGTACCCCTGGACAATCGACAACAATCTACAGGGTACCTCTGGACAATCGACAACGATCTACAACGTACCCCTGGACAATAGACAACGATCTACATCGTACCCCTGGACAATCGACAGCAATCTACAACGTAGCCCTGGATAATCGACAACAATCTACAAGGTACCCCTGAACAGTCGACAATGATCTACATAGTACCCCTGGACAATCGACAACAATCTACAGGGTACCTCTGGACAATCGACAACGATCTACAACGTACCCCTGGACAATCGACAACGATCCACAACGTCCCCCTGGACAATCGACAACGATCTACAACGGAACCCTTGACAATCGACAACGATCTACAACGTACCCCTGGACAGTCGACAACGATATACAACGTATCCCTGGACAATCGACAACGATCTACAACGTACCCCTGAACAGTCGACAACGATCTACAACGTACCCCTGGACAGTCGACAACGATATACAACGTATCCCTGGACAATCGACAACGATCTACAACGTACCCCTTGATAATAGGCAACGATCTACAACGTACTCCTAAACAATCGACAATGATCTACAACGTACCCCTGGACAATCGACAACGATCTCCAACGTACCCCTGGACAATCGACAACGATCTACCACATCCTCCTGGACAATCGACAACGATCCACAACGTCCCCCTGGACAATCGACAACGATCTACCACATCCTCCTGGACAATCGACAACGATCCACAACGTCCCCCTGGACAATCGACAACGATCTACCACATCCTCCTGGACAATCGACAACGATCCACAACGTACCCCTGGACAATCGATAACGATCTACAACGGAACCCTTGACAATCGACAACGATCTACAACGTACCCCTGGACAGTCGACAACGATATACAACGTACCCCTGGACAATCGACAACGATCTCCAACGTACCCCTGGACAATCGACAACGATCTACCACGTACCCCTGAACGGTCGACAATGATCTACATAGTACCCCTGGACAATCGACAACGATCTACAACGTTCCCCTGGACAATCGACAACGATCTACAACGGAACCCTTGACAATCAACAACGATCTACAACGTAGCCCTGGACAGTCGAAAACGATATACAACGTACCCCTGGACAATCGACAACAATCTACAGCGTACCCCTGGATAATCGACAACGATCTACCACATACTCCTGGACAATAGACAACGATCCACAACGTACCCCTGGACAATCGACAACAATCTACAGGGTACCTCTGGACAATAGACAACGATCTACAACGTACCCCTGAACAATCGACAACGATCTACAACGTAGCCCTGGACAGTCGACAACGATCTACAACGTACCCCTGGACAATCGACAGCAATCTACAACGTAGCCCTGGATAATCGACAACAATCTACAACGGAACCCTTGACAATCGACAACGATCTACAACATAGCCCTGGACAGTCGACAACGATATACAACGTACCCCTGGACAATCGACAACAATCTACAGCGTACCCCTGGACAATCGACAACGATCTACAACATACCCCTGGACAATCGACAACGATCTACAACGTACCCCTGAACAGTCGACAATGATCTACATAGTACCCCTGGACAATCGACAACAATCTACAGCGTACCCCTGGACAATCGACAACGATCTACCACATACTCCTGGACAATCGACAACGATCCACAACGTACCCCTGGACAATCGACAACGATCTACAACGGAACCCTTGACAATCGACAACGATCTACAACGTAGCCCTGGACAGTCGACAACGATATACAACGTATCCCTGGACAATCGACAACGATCTACAACGTACCCCTTGATAATCGACAACGATCTACAACGTACCCCTAAACAATCGACAATGATCTACAACGTACCCCTGGACAATCGACAACGATCTACAACATCCCCCTGGACAATCGACAACGATCTACAACATCCCCCTGGACAATCGACAACGATCTACAACGTAAACCTGGACAATCGAAAACGATATACAACGTACCCCTGGGCAATCGACAACGATCTACAACGTACCCCTGGACAATCGACAACGATCTAGAACGGAACCCTTGACAATCGACAACGATCTACAACGTACCCCTGGACAATCGACAACGATCTACAACGTATCCCTGGACAGTCGCCAACGATCTACAACGTACCCCAGGAAAATCGACAACGATCTACAACGTACCCCTAGACAATCGACAACGATCTACAACGTACCCCTGGACAATCGACAACGATCTACAACGTAAACCTGGACAATCGAAAACGATATACAACGTACCCCTGGGCAATCGACAACGATCTACAACGTACCCCTGGACAATCGACAACGAGAATCACCAAAATTCTGTAAAGCAGAATTTCAAACTTACGTTACACTGTTAAAACAAGGACTATGTCTAATGATGCTACGCGCACACAGGACCAACCTCTGTACCTCTTCTTGTACTCGGGCGTATTATCAGATGTATTTAAAAACAACTCGTACAGCTTCATCTTTACTTCTTATTTCAGATAATCCCTCTGAAAATAATTTGATTAATTTGAATTGAAACTGGATTTTCTTCAATTTGACAAAATTACCTGTCTCAGTACATCATACCACAATTACTGAGTTTATGCAAAAACAAATACGTCATACCTTACTTACACAGCATTTTCTATTTAAATTGTTAATTAGAAGATTGTTCATGTTAATACATTTAACCATCTTAACTCGGCAACATCCACCTAAAAATACATCATGCGGCACTAACTCAGTAGATAGCGTTAGTACTACTGAGTTAGTATCAAATGGTGTATTTACAGTATTACTTTGTAATAACACAGTATTTCCATAAAAATACACCATACTATTGTATGTCAGCTCCTTATTGTACATCATGTAAGACTGTAATGTACTACCGGATAGATAATGGATAGGATATCACGTTTTTAGAGTTCATATGTTAACTTCAAATTGGTATCCTTCAACCCCGTCTCCAGCATGGCGTCAAACATTTCATTTTGAGCGACAGTGAACCAGTTTTTCCAGTCTCCTACGGTTCCTGTGAACAAGAGAGGAGATATTGCAACATAGCACATTGAAACGGTTTACTGAGACGAAAAGACACATTTAAAGTCACAAGGAACTATTCATCCAATAGAACCGAGCTTCATCACTGGTTTGAACAGTGTATCCAATTTGTGAGATAAATTTACTTAACATGGTATCAGAGGAGGGGTTACCTTTCCTGAATATGAAGTTGGTACCGTCTTTTGAAACTTTGCTGAGTATATCCACACCTTTCTTGCCTGATGTTGTTGCGTCCGCAAGGTTTTTGAACGAACATTTGTCAGCGATTTCCTCCATAAGTTTGGGGCTTATTTCTTTATTAAAAAAAGCTGCCATACGCTTAATTTCTACAACTGGATTCTGAAAAATAAATAGCATTGCTTCTTAAAGCAAAATGTTTAAGTTCAATATAAAACGTGATAATATGTATACATTAGGGAATGGGAAATTTGTACTCATTGAGCATTAATTCTAAAGCATGATACCTTTTTCAAATCTTCGTAAAACACAGTATGGATATTTGTTGCAGTTTTTGCCTGTTTTGACATCGCCCACTCTCGTTCATAGCCGATATAACCCCCATAGAAATCTGGAACATGAAAAGTAGAGGAATCAGTGACAAAGTATCTAATACACATGTTCATAACACAAACCGCTTATATCTATGTATATGGCGACAAACATTTTTTAATGATTGTTCAGAAGACATGACACAAGTCATGATTTATAACGATTTATATGTAATCTTTTTTTTTTATATCTCCAATTGATCGGGAGACAAAATTGACTATATTTCAAGTTAATTCATTATCAATTAAAACCCCGCAGATTATAATATTTGCTGATTTTTTGTCTGACGTCACTCACAATACTTTCTTTCTGTTGTTGTTAAATATGCATTCCTACAAACATCATCAGACAAACAAACAAAAAATTAAAAAAATGTTGCTCTTACCAGACTTTAACATGCATTGTTGTTATCAATGAACTTAAATATACATTGTAGACTAAAATATATATTGTTGCTATCATTAGACTTAAACATACATTGTAGACTAAAATATACATTGTTGCTATCATTAGACTTAAACATACATTGTAAACTACAATATACATTGTTGCTATCATTAGACTTAAACATACATTGAAGACTAAAATATACATTGTTGCTATCATTAGACTTAAACATACATTGTTGCCATAATCAGAAAAAAATACGTTGTTGCTATTCTCAGATTAAAACATGTTGTACATACTATGCTTGTTTGCACACATGTCTTCGATAAAGTTGTTCCATGTCCCGGGGAAGTCTTCCTCTGTACAGGCCGTTAATGGGGCATTCTGGCTGTGGTTGTAAAAGGACACCATCACATCTTTAGGGTTCCTTATAACATGGATGATTTTGTATCCATTATCTACATGCTTCTTGGGAAGATGACGAAATGTAAGATGCGTGTTGAGGAAACGCGGAGAGGGTTGCTCATGCATTTGTTCAATACCGACAGACTCCATCATGGTGTGTATCTTATGACCACTGGTGTACTGTGCCCCTCCTTGTAGAATCATCGACACAATCTCGTGTACCCAGTGTGTTCCTGTAACAAATCATCGCCTTATTCTTTTGATCTTAATATCTAAATCTGATTTTCAGTAATATTTATTTTTTATGATTTTCTTTAATCAAGCTATCGAAACAGACACGTCTTCTACAATTGATTTATGCAACATATTTTCTACTGTGGTTTTTGTTAACATTTTGAGATAAAGGAAGTTTTCATAAAATATTTAAAGATGACATATATTTGATGATATCGATTAGCTAGGGTTGCAAGCAGGCAAAAAGTAACCCGAATAACCCCATCTTAATCTTAACTAACTGCAAGTGTCATTCTGCAGCGGAATGACCAATCGGAAAGAAGCTTTCAAAAGTCGGTCATTTAACCCCGCCTATATTGGCGAGAACTCGATCTGTATGTTGACGAGGCGGAATATTTGGATTGTTCGTGAACGTCCTGTTACCAAAGTTTATACGACACATTTGGATTAATATTGAACAAGTTCTTACATTTCCATGTCAATATGCAAACCAATCGGTGCTTATCGACAAAATCGGTGATTATTTGAATAGATTTTTGAAGAGTTTTGCGTAAATGCATACGACACATGTGAAATGTTTGATTTGATTTCGGATCTAAGTTGATGCCTTCACACGGATGGAACGAACGTTTCAGTAATAAATGGAGGTAAGAACAAGGAATGGGTTATTTTTACTTTTTAATTCATTCAACAAGTGCATTTCATCGGTCGTTTCTGTTCTGTTGCCTACTAGCCTGTATCATCGGGATTTCGCTATGAGGCGAGCTTGACGCCATATTGTTTTGGTTAGAAACGGGGCATGGCTTAAGTGCGATGGGAGGAGCTTAACACGATTGATCATGATTCTATCGCAGACTAGAACATGGTCCGTATCCAATCAAAACACGCGTTACAAACGAATCGTGTTAGAATATATATTTGATGAAAGCTTTTGTTTGCAATTTGATGTAATATCGTTGCTACTTATTTTAAGTATTTTTTGTAAGGTATTTGATGTAAGCTTATTAATGTGATGTCTTTGTTATTGCAGTTTATTTAATTACATAATGTGTTATAGCCTTTTTAATATTCACCATTTTGCCACCGTTACTAACATTGGGTATCACAGTTAAAAACAAGACACGTGACGGCTTCTTACCTGATTTGGGAAATGTACAGAGTAGTATATCTGATTCCCTTGAGTCGAAATTCCTTATTGCCTCCATGTGTTTTTCTGGATCAGGAAATAGCGGTCTGAATTTCGGAAGCATACAACCATCGTAAGTGGGATGTTTTTTGCTCCACATATTGTTTAAGTATTGTTTTATTTTCTCAGGATCAAGCGCAGAGGGATTCATCTTATTTCCTATTTATCTGTAATGATAGAAAACATCTCAATTTATATTGCATGAAAATATTTGAAAACAATTGAATGAACATGTTAAGATGTACTGATTATAGAGAGATTCTTAGCTTAGTGCAGCTTACTTAATGCTGACAGTGCAACTTTCAATTGAAATTTAACAACAACAAGAAACAATCTTATTTTAAGATTTCCCCGAGTGACAATCTTTTACGGCTATCGTATCTGAAGAAGCGCTAACATTTTAGAATGTACAGCGTTTTTTATACCCAACGAGACATACTCGTTACCAAGCAAGGACAAACTGAAATGTCGGCACTTCCTTAGAAACGATAGCCGGAATAGATAGTCATTGGGGAATATATCAAAAACCAGAACATAATATAAAATGATTTTTTATTTTAAATCTCAATTGAAAGCTTTTTATCTTTCACTGACAGCATTGACCACAGACGATTCTTTATCTAATGCAGCTTATTTCGACTGTAACAAACCACATCATGCAAAGGTTTTACCTAGTGCAGCATATTTAGAATGTGAAATCAACACCACACAAGTGTCAATACAGCCACAGCCATTCCGGGTTGATCGTAGCCAAATCTCAGCGGTTCATCTTTGCACCACCTCTTTGATGTAGGAGTTTCTACTTTATCTTCAAACTCATCCTCCAAAAAAGTATGGAACATGATTCGGAAAATAGCTGGGAAAAGGAAATCATCACCATCCTCCCATCTCATAAACAAAACCAAAGTGTTTTCTTCAAAATCTGAAATTGCAGACGAAATCGGTTCTTGTCAAGCGTTCTATTTGAGATGTGGTTATATTTGTATATTGTGTAACTAATCAGAGACAGTGAAAGGTTAAATTCTTTGCACTTCGTATCAAATATCTTATGTCCTTTCACAACGAATACATATTTCTTAACTGAACATTGCAAAACATTTTTCGTAGAATCTCATTGATCAAATTCCACAATGAGTGTACTTCTTGACATTCAATGAAATAGTGCATAAACTTATCCTTAACTTTACATATATATCAATTATCATTATAATTGCATCTTTAAAGTAAGATTCAATTTGGAGAATATTGTGGAAGAGCTTCCATTTAAATATGTTTCCTTCCATTCTTTTGGTATAGCTTTCTTTACCTGACTTACTCCTCTTTTAACTGTCGGTTAATCATAATTTCATTTATACCGCCATCCTTATCTAGTATATCGTTGATAAAAGTTAGGCCAGACTCAATCCAGTTCTTGAAATGAGCGAACTTCCATTAATTCCGATATTTTTATTTCTCAAAATGATCTCCCGACGAATTCCCTTATAATCATATTAAAAGATAGGTGTATTAATTTCTCTAAGTTTCAACCATGCTTGTAGGATACCAATGTAAAGTTGTGGTACATTATATTTTGGAAGGTTACGTATGTGTCCATGGGACATAATAAACACAATACTGGCGCCACCGAGCTTTTTTAAATACTAATTTGGAATCCCTTACCAACAGGCGTCTACAGGAGGTACTAACCTTCGTATCCAGGATGCCTTTAAAACATCTATCTGGGATTCAATGTCGCGTATAGATAGCCCGCCTTCCGATTTATCACCTTTCATAACACTACGTTTAACACGGTCTGGTCCATTATTCCAAATAAAACGATATATTTTCCCCATAGCTTCGTTACTTGTTCTTTACTTATATATTGGACACTTGGTAAGTATGTAATCTGTGGTATTTTTAAAGCCTGAACAATTACATAATATGTGTGTATATATATATATATATATTATGTCTTTTAGGTATCAAAATAAAAGGCTAAAATTTAAACCGTTAGTTTAAATGTAGTAGTTGTTTCCCCTAATTTGATTATTAATTTGATAATACCAACTTGTTTATATGTGTTTGTATGTGTTCTAATGTCTATGTCTATGCTTGTACCACTGTTTGTTACTATGTTAGGAGAGGGCTTAAATAGGCTATGCCTGCTGCCCAATCCATTTGTCCTTTGACAATGAAATTTATTGAAATTGAAATTGAACAATCACATTTTCCTTTCATGGCCGCTTTTATTTTATTTTCAATATCTAATAAGTGCATCGATACTTGTTATTATATCTGCCCAATTAGGATTGGAACTTAACTTTGAATTTGCGCCGAAGTATATTCCCAACGACTTAACTTGCTTCACCTAGTATATACCGTTTTTTTTTTTGTTGCAGCCTAAATACAAACCTTCGATCTTTGATTTATTCGATTGCAGACTAGACGCTTTTCCAAATTGTTCAACAATTAATAACGCGCTTCTGATGTCCCTATACCGCATAAATAAAGTGGTGTCATCTCCTAGTCGGCCGATTTTTTATTTAAACTACATTGTATTTTATTGCCTTTTTTACATATTAATGGAATTGGGCACAAGTTGTACAACTTATATCAAGCCCTGTCCCTGTACAATAATATATTTAACAAAATTTCATGATGGCAGAAATACGACAATAAGCTATGCATGATAAATTAATTGATTAGTTGACATAAATACATCCACACATTCACACACCAAACAACACGCATGCGCACTAATATAAACATGTATATAAAGGAGGAGAGGGAGAGAGATAGGGGGAGAGAGAGGGAAGAGGGGGTTAGCGAGTCCGAATTATTTTAAATTTTTGGATAAGTAATGCAACAATACAGTAAATTTAAGGAAATACATAACATATCAGACCACGTGATTGTTCCTTCTCCATGCGAACGAAACTAGTTATACTATTAGCTGTTTACAACTTTCTTCTGATTAAATATTCATCACATCCCGTTGGCGATTTTTATATTCCTATTTCTAACTCTGTTACGACTCCAAGTTTCTGTGTATTACTTAACTCACCTCTCCTGTATCCGTCATTTAGCGAACCTAACGCAATATCCGAAATATTATCAAAATGTTTTGTAGAATTCACCAGAAAAACTATTACTACCTGGACTTTTGATTGGCTTAAATATTTTGACTGCTGCTGCACACTCCTCTAATTTCAACTCGCCTTCACATGAAAGTTTTCTTTCTCTGATAACGTATCCTGAAAGTCACACAGTTATCAATATAATCAGTTATATCCCTTTTATCAATGCAGTCATTGCTATAATGCTTTGAATAAAAATTCTCAATTTCTTTCAATATTTCTTCAGGATCGTTAGCGTTTTTTTCGTTATCTTGCTTGATATGTGATAGCCGTTTCGCTCGTCTTTGTCTTTAAATTCCTAAAAATTTATACCGTCAACTTTTTTTCCTTTAAAATGCTACTTGTCCTGAACGACCCAGTAGATTTTGACTGAATTCGGCCTTGAGCATCTTTAGGCCAAGGGGACTCAATTTTGTATAAACGGTGGATGTGGCCCATTTGAGTGCAGTGTTGCGGGGCTCAATAGGGGAATTTGATGTAAAATTTTATCTCAACACCTTTGACTTACATGTACAATGATATACAAAGATATGTAACATACACATATTTAGTGTATAAGCATGCGTGGTTGTACAGAGGGATACAACTGTCATAGTAATAGAGGTTTACTGCAGTTACATATAATACATGTAGTCACTAAAGATATTCGATGTTAAGTTTCCGAACAGATCTAAAGCACGGCCTATCATTTGTTGAATCATTTCAGGCTATAACAATTTCTGTTCTGATTTATGGACCACAATAAAAGTTGTTTAATTGAATATTTTAATCATGTTCTTGAAGATGGGAAAAACGGCCAACATCTTCCGCAAAATGGCTGCTGCAGATTGACCCGTGATTAGTCGAAATTTATGCATTGTCCAATATCCCTATGAAAAAGTGTGCAGTGGCACTACAAACACTACTGCGATCTGCGTTGATTTTTTTATTTGACAAAATGTCCGTGTAAGGTCGGGTTCTGATTGGTCGACATTTAAATATTGAACGATCTTATAGATTTGATATGTAGGTTATTATGTAGGGTTGTTACCGCATATCATTTCGAGTACAGATAACTGTAATTGAATCCGTCTTACTGCATTCCGACATTTGTTGTCCATGAAATATACTTGCTGAGGTTACATATGCAACTATTTACTGCGTTAATCTTAAAATACACGAGTAAACTATCATCCTAATTAATATATACATGTATGTTTGTGGCGTAAAAACGGTTACTCGATCGGTAGAAGAGTAACCAGTTACTAAATTAATACCGGTTTGACAACCCTAATAGTATGGCATTGCGATTATTTTCTGATGCATCACTTGCGACCACTGGGTTAGTATCGGCACCATATGGTGTAACGGTTCCTGTTACGAGTAGATATTGTTATACTATATAATTTAAAAAAAAGGAAATATATGTACCCTTCGACTGATTGTTATATATACATTGATATTTATACAATACACCTAAAGGATTAAGCTTTGGGTGCTGTTTTTACTGATGGGTGCAATAAAGTAAAAAAAAAATGTGTGAAGTTTTAATACTTAAGTGTTCTGTGGTTGAATTTAGATTCTTCTCGAGTGGATGATATGTGAACGGTAGAGGCCGTTAGAGACTTTTCGTCTGAAAGTCGATGGGATGAAAGATTTACACATAGAACACTGGCAATACAGCTTACACATAATTATATACTACATGTATTTAAAAATCTTCTAGTTGTTTTGCCTCATTTTATTTTATATTTTGTTATTGTTGTATCCCTTATTTGTTATCAATCCTACCAATGGATATATATTGATACTACATGGTTCTATACTTTTAACTACTTCGTTTAGCAGCAGCAGGGTATATATATATCCATATATGCATTAAAAACTTGCACAAAAATAAAATTATAGCAATTTCTCTGTTTAATATATCAAAAGGGCATTGCTTGCCTATTACTAATTAATTCTGATTGACTTTTTAATAAGAGCATTGTATACCTCAAAATATCAATGATATATTTATATATAATTGAAACATACATGGATTTATCTCCCCTATACCATCTGCTATATGTTGACTGGGGATAGTATATAAATTGCATCAATATTTTCCTTCTAACCGTTTCAAATTTTTTTTTAAACATTTTCTTCGGGTTGGTAAGTATGGATTATGAGAAGTTCTTTTTACACAACTAATCAAATTTTCTATGTGACGTTTCGATGACTAGTACGACATGTACACTGTCACCTTCATCAGACAAATGTGTAAGTAGCGTAGCTGAATTGAGTTATTTCGGTACATATATAACAACTATCGTTCATAAGTTTCCAGCACAGCCGAAATCGACATCGATTTTATGGACAACTCGTACACATTTTACACCTTTGTGTGCATACGCTTCACTGGTCATTTGTCTGATGAAGGTGACAGTGTACAATTCGTAGTCAGGTGACGTTATCGGCGCTATTTTTAGCAGGGCTTTCCCGAACAATTCAAATGGTCAACCTGGACATTTGGAACGGACTATGAATATGGGGATAGCGAGGTAACATAAGTGAATACATACATTCATTAAAAAAAAAACGCCTTTTCACGTGATGTCCCTTTAAATATAAAAAAATCAGACAAAGCCACACAAGTCCTTCCAACTTTGCAAGCTCTCATAAATGATGCAGTCACTGATTTAAATGTCAGCTGTTGGCATACTATTACAACTCTTTTGTGAAGTTTTATCATTTTGTACCAAATCTACCTGTCGTCTGAAAAAGATCTGTGTATATGTTGGATTGATTATCGGTATAACATAAAACATGTGTACATATGTCCAATTAAAACAAAATGCACATGTACTTGTCATATACATATAAGATATAAGCTGTGTAAATGTACTTTTTAAAAATGTACATGCTTAAGTCATACACAAATAAGATATAGGGTGTGAAGGCTGCTATCGGCCATTGCACACGAAAAATTACCTTGTGCAAATATGTCCGTCTCTTACCTTGTACAGCTCTGTCTAAATTCGACATAAAAGGGTACACGTACACTTGTGTAAGGTTTTACGTGTTATCTAGATCTGATATAGTTATATGTCAGGCGAGGATGATGTAATACTCTTTTCTCACGCGTCATGGGTGGCCACGGATGTCAAAACGAGGTTGAAGGCACACAGGCAGCGTAAATACATATCCGTCCTAAATATAAATTCGTCCTGACACAGATACCATTGTTGTCGATACCTGTACTAAAGTATTCCGTCAGTTCACAGGGGTTCGTTACTAATCGTGTCTAATACACATGCTATACTGATATGTGGTCAGTTTCGAATGCTGCGAGACAGAGACATATATTAGCTGTATGTTGTTGATACTAAAACCAGGTAAACATTATTTGGACTTCGTTACAAAAGTCATATATGCTTGTATGTTTATGTGTGCTGTGACCCATATCAGTATAGCATAGTTAAGCATGAACTTTTCACTTTTACAGTAATAATCTATGTATATGACCTTTCTTTACAATTCATATATGTTGACATGTTTGATTGGTTGATTATTCATCAAAGACCAGGTATAGTACATATTGATTTGTTTATTTATCATAAGGCCAGACAAAAACAATGTGTTTGAATAGGAGAGTGATCTTACTTTAACAGTGCTTCTTTGAAAATTGCCTTAAAAATGTAGGGTACTATAGGCACAAACAATTAAGGTAAGTAGGGTTTCTGGAAACACCACATATTTTTTGTTTTGCCTAACATGTTGACTCCTTTATTGCTATCACACTTTTGTAATGCAGGTCTGAGGTCAGAGTGGAGAGCAGCCATGGTTTTGAGACCTATCCGGTATCTAACATATGGTTACAAGGAAATACCCACACATTGTGATATTTTCTTCTGGTAAAATTAAAAAATAATCTCAAATAATCTCAAATGTAATCAAAATAATGCCTAAACAATTTTTCAAAATAGATAAATAAGTCATGATTCATTCATATCATTGGTTATATATTGGTAAGTATATGAAGCCGCCAATTTGAAAATAAATAAATGAGAGTAATTTGAAATGTTAAGATAAACTAAATCATTTAATTTAAATATATATATAAGTCAGAAGTTTGTCTATCATAAACAAATCTTTTTAACAGTTTTTTGTAAAATAAAGATACACTTACCAGTAATAGTAGCTAAAGAAACTCGAGAACATCAATACCAATTCTGCTGTTTTGGCACAACCTAGTTAATGTGTCAATGGTGTATATATATTACCACAATCTCATGATCAGTCGGAAATAACATACACACATGTATGTGTTTGTTGACAAGGCTGGCGTAGTGATATGACCCATATGTAAAAAGTCACTCATTAATATTCAAAAATGACTTTTTTTACAAAGAGCTAGGCGGGTTGCTATGCCTATTTCCCCAAAGCTATGATCCGCTATAGTGCGCGCTTCCAACCGTGCACTGTTATGACACGTCCTCAGGTATTTCTATACAGGTAGCACGATCGGAATCCCGTGTCTAAGAATAGATTATTGTAAACAGACGAATTCAAGGCTATGGCTACTAATACATGCGTATTTCGCGTTATGCTGTATAAAACACAAGATCGTACATTCATTACCAACAAGTTTGAAAGGATTAAGTTTTCATTACTACTGCTACGTCATGCTGTTACTTGTTTTTTTTAAAAACACACATATCGATTTTGTTCTTTCTTTGATAAAATTACATATAGTTTTCGAATAGCTTGTCTTACACGTGTATTGCGCTCCTAACTTTTTTGCTGCAGTCTTCCTGCATTTCAAACAAATGAGACTGGCCTCGACGATGAATTTCCCGCATGTTCGGTAAGATCTTTTCGATAATAACACTTCATTTTTTTTGCTTTGTAACAATGCCATATATTTTGTATTTCGGCATCGTTTGTTTGCGTTAAGATAATAAATAAAAATACTAGAGCCAATATGACTGTAAAACAATTCAAAAATATCATTTAAAATGATGTCTCAACTACAAAGCGTAGCTGTACTGTACACACATACAGAGATTTGTTGACATGATTCAGTAGAAGATAAATCAATGGGTATGTTATTAAAATATCAATAAAATGTTCTATTGATTTGAAAAATATTTATCACTTAATTAAGGAAAATGATCACATGCCTAAATATTAAACAAAAGTAAAACAAACAAAAAAGTGAATCTGAATGTGGATTCGAACCTACGCTGTTCACATTTTCTGGTCACAAGCTAACTGCATTACACATTAGGCTACATCGGACATAGACAAAAAGGGAAATACAAACTGCTTTAACCCAAGAAACATCTGTCGCAGTTTTAAAACCTTGATCAACCCGGTTTTTCATTATTTTGAGCACTTTCCCAAAGGAGGATCACTTTTCCGTCATACGATTTGTTTTTGCATATTACATCACGGAATCAAAATGTTTATTCAAAAGTTGGTCCTCGGATGGGAAAGTATTGAAAGTATTTTTTAAGGTTGAGAAACCCCTTCACTTTCATAGATATAGTGAATATGGCTATATTTGCAGTATTATATCAACAATACCGAATTTCTCAACAGTTCATAAATTAATATTCAATTGGTTTTATATCTATTCCATGCATTTTTGCTACTAAAGATTATTTACTCATCAATAATTTTTTCCGTTTTCAAAAAAGCCGACTTAGGGAAATACGGGCAGTTTTCCGCCATACCTCTTTAATAATTGTCAAAATTAATGTTTCGGCAACAACTTTATGAAAAAATATAATAGATGAACGACTTTAAATATTGAGAGTAGCAGTATTGCATTAATTTATATAAACAAACCACGGACTATATGCGCGCAGAGACGTATATAACACAGCTTTATACGTCTCTGATGCGCGTAAGCATATCGTACGAAGTCTGCCTCCCGCCAAGTGATGAAGACGAACTTATCCTGTCTATGTCCAAAACCATAGGCCTACGTTTCTTAGTGACGGTTCTATGGTTGACGTTTATAGTGAAAGTTCAGCCATAGTCAGACCGTCCAAATAGCGATAACGTGATGTTGGGAGAACGAAATATTTCCCGACACTGTGAAAGATCTTGTTTTGGTTTCACGACCTGGACACGCGACGGTGTGACGTCGAAACGATATTGAGCGTCTGTAGCAATTTTGCCTGAAACCAGCGATCAAATCTTTAAGTATCATCTTCTTTTAATATTGCCTTAATAACCCCCTTTTCCGCATAACCTCACAAAGTCACCAACATTTGTCGGATGTGGACAGCAGACGACGTAAACAAAACAGCATGTGGCAAAAAGCGCGTGGAAAAAGTCTTCCCGGTCAAAGTTCATCTTCTCGACCAATCAAAACTCTTGAAGGTCATATACAACGTGTGGTATATAACTCATATTTATCTAACAGTCTGCGTGTTTATACAATGATCTGAGAGTGGAATAACACAGCGTATTGTGGTAGAAGAAACAGATCACACGACTCGTGGTTGTTGAGTATGGTATTTATTTCACTCTCGTTAGTTAATTTTCAAAAGTTACAGAAAGACACTCGCTAAAGCTCGTGTCTTTTGTAACTTTTGAAAATTAACTAACTCGAGTGAAATAAATACCATATTCAACAACCACTCGTTGTGTAACCTCTATATATGCTATACATGACACTACTATATGCTACATATATAGTTTCATAATTGAATAAGAATTTGATCAATATAAACCAAATTATAAAAAAAAAACATTTGAACTTGTACTTGGTTGGATGTTCTGCTGATTTTCATTCGTTTTGCATGAACAGAATTTTGTATTTGGTACCATCCAATTGATTTTGGATGCTGGGTTCGAGTCCCAGAGGGCTCACAACTAGCAGTTGACATGCATAAGGTGAAAATCAGCACAATTTAATATTTTAACAAACTTATCAATCTTCAGACAAGCATGTATACCTTGCCCTTTTCAATAAATGTAAACATTTTCTCTTTAATGTTGATCATATAACCATTAAAGCATTCATCGCTATATTATAATATATTTTCATGTATGCAGGTTTAATCAATTTGATTCTAAAAGTTTTCATTAATTAGTCATGAACAATCACTGTATCATTTCGCTTCAGTCTTAAATGAATATAACACCATCATTACAATCAATACTTTCTCTTTGTGGTTTTACTAACATGACATCATGCACTGCTATGATTACGGCTATTTAACTTTACGTTTTCAGGATTGTGAAATTTTACATTATTCTTTGCAGAGAACATCAAGAAAAACATGAAGCACATTGATGCTGCTCCTGCAGATAGAGATGATATTCATTATCCTATTCCTATTCATCAGTCTATTCCTAGTCAGGACCATGACTATGTGACAGACCCTCTTCGATTAAATTTAATTATTGTTGCAAGTGTTAATTACCAAAAGTGACATCATGTATACAATAACCATGTGATATGATGGCGGACAAGTGCCGGACAAAATTAATTCATTTTTCATATCTTTGTGTACCATGGAACACTTTTCAACACAGTGATAAGAACAAGGCAGAGTATTGCAAGGCAATCCATAGTCCCTCACCAGTAATGATTTATATATTTAAAAAACAGTACACCTATATCAGGAAGCATAGGTCACAATGAGGATATAGTGACTTACTTCTTGCATTCTGTCATCCCAAGATATCTTTGTACACCAAATATGGTTACTCCAGGTGAAATAATACAGAACATATGCCCCGGACAAACTTTTTTCAAAATTTAAGTTCAAAGGTCAAGTCATAGATCACAGTGACCTTATTCTTGTACACTGCACCCCGTCATCCCAAGATGTCATTGTACACCGAATAAAGTTACTCCATGTGAAATAGAATAGAAGATATGCCACGGATAAACGTTTTCAAAAGTTAAGGTCAAAGGTCAAGTCATAGGTCACAGTGACCTAATTATTGCACTCTGCACTCCGCCATCCCAAGATTTCTTTGTACACCAAATCTGGTTACTCCATGTGAAATAGTATAGAAGATATGTGCCAGACAAACTTGTTGGACGGACGAACGGACGTACGGACGGAGTGCAAACCTATAATCCTACCCGGGAACCGGTTTGGGACTAAAACTCATATCATTGTGCACAATGGTTGTCAAACCAGTGTTTTTTTGTATGTTTCTGTACCAACACAGCGGCCGACAAGAACCATGGTACAGAAACATATCAAACCGTCGCCTCTGAAATGTGTGACAAATTATCGTCTGATAAGGCTGTCACGTACACTGAGTTTATGTCTCGTGAAAGGTGTCCATTTCTCATTACACCAAGCATCAGTGACAATTATGATAGTTAAATTAACTGATATAGACTATCAGTAAACAAGAGGCCCATTGGGCATGAACCGCTCACCTGGTATTAATCTTACACTTGCAATCTTAAAAGTGGACTAAAATACAGCTACAAGCAAAATACAAGTGTTTGATTCAAAGAATCTATAACAAGATTTAACCTTGTGACACATGTGACCTTGAAAGTCAAACAAAGACATTAAGTTGAACAGACTTTAAAGTCTTTCATACCAGCATGATTCTGGCCAAATATCGTTGCCCTTGACCTTTAGATTATTCAGAAGTTGTTTAAAAATTTCAACATGTTTGACCCCTGTGACCTTGCAAATGGGTGAAGGTGATTCATTTGAACAAACATGGTAACCCTTCATCCGGACGACGGACGCCGCACCATGAATTAAACTCACTTGCCATTCGGGCAGGTGAGATAATAAATCACACACCGATACAATACACAGCATAACAACGCAAGATGTAGTTTAACATTCAAATGGTTTATTTTTCTGATATATTTGAATAAGAGTTTCTTCAAAGGTATTCTGAAATAAGCAATGGTTTCAGAAACAAATCTTCTATTTGACATACAGATCAGGATGCTTAACACTTTATACAAACTTGTGTCATTAAGTTGTCTCTTAAGGATCCTGATACTACTGGACAAAACTGTAACCACGTATTTGAAACTGTTTTCTCCGACATCACTTTAGCCATACCCTGCGGAGTTTTATTTGTATGAAAAATAATAGAGATGAAATAAACAAAATAAAATCAGCAACGGGTATCTGATTAAAAAAAGTTCAGTAGGGGTTTTACCGGAATTAACCGCAGATTTCAGATGGTTGTACATGTACTATAGTTCTAATCGACTGATCTACCTGGTCAACGGAGTGGCCTTAGCAAACCTGTGCTAAAGTATAGTCAACACGAAATGACGAGGAGGTTACTGAGTATACGTAAAACCATAGTGCAGAGGGACAGGGATCCTTAAAATCCAGTTCCATTGAGATGTCACTCCATTTACATCTTCAGACATTCCTATGCTGTATCAGGCCTCACGTGTCCTACATTTTAGTGCACCAGTACAGCGCATGACTCAACACTTAATCTTATCACTCCTATCATATGCCTGCGGAACACATGTATTTGAACAACCGTTTATATCATGTCACATGTACGTTACCCTTATTCACATCCCATGTATAGCATATATGTGTCCCTTATAATCAACTTTCAGAATAACTTTATGCTAAAAAGTAAATTTATGATAACAGGAAAATTGATATGGAAATTCCCTTACTGTATCCCAAATAATTCAATTGTATTTAAACCAGCCCATTAATCAAAATTTTGAGCGGAAACATATTTATTTAGATAGAAACTAGATATATAACCGAAAAAGACCAAATATAAAGCTATTATTAAATAGGGTTTAAGTCCGTGACAATTCGGTTCGTATATAGCAATAGAAATTACCTGTTTTAATTATAACAGATAACAGTACATATACATTATGTGTTTGTATGAAATAGTTATATATTTAAATGAGTTGCTAAATATAAAGATTCAAATATATCTTTGGTATTCTTTAAACCATCAATTCAAATTGTGGAGACGATTACTCTAAATATGATTTTGATTTATATACATCAGGTTTCCTCAATGAGTGTTGTTATATTCTTGGTACGTTCCTGTTATAGTAAGTGCCATACACAAATGGTTAAGGTCATTAAAATAACCAGTCGTACGTTTGCAATAAATATGTATATTCATATAAGTTAAGAATGAACAGTAAAAGTTATTTTCCGTTCATTATTGAAAAAATGTTAATAAAATTATCGATGCAATTATTTAAATATTATCTATTAAGAAATTGAAACAAATAACACTCGAGAGTTGAGCCCGTGTATAACAGTCAATGTATGTTTAAACATGTTCTTACTCTCCAATGTTCACTGCAAACTGGTATTGGTCAAAAGTCACTTTAGTACAAATCTCCATTCTAATATGTTGTGCACTGTATTGAAATCAAATCGGTACAGCATTCGACAATCGGGAAATAAAAGACCTAAAGCAAGAAACACAACTAAAATAAGGAAGTCACAACGTTGGCATGTACACATAAACAAATGTACTCTCACTTGTATAAAAAAAAAACTAATGTCTATGTAATGATGTAAACATTTTATTTTTGTTTAAATCAATAATTTCATTACTTGGTTCTAATACTGTAAAATTGTTCGTTTCACTCAGATATTTCATTTTTACTTCATATTGTGTTATTGCTTGATCTGAATAAACAGTTGAGTACTTCCGCAATGCCTTGACTATCGCTCTGAAGCTAATCTCCGACATATAAATTAAGTTATTTGAAATGAGTATTTCATTCATTTAATGATTAAATCTATATTAAATACTCTAACAATTCCCTCAGAGGTAAGATTTACGTACAACTTAAAAATGTACTTTGGAAACTGGTATTTCAACAAATATGTGTTTCTTTATAGTCTGTAAAAATAGTAGTTTCTACTCTTGCTTAACGCTCAGCAATTTAGGAGTGATACGACTAGTTTGCCCGTTGTCAGTATAATGTGACTGGGTGGGGTGTCCTGCTGGGTGTCTTCGGCAGTATGTTTCAGTGTGGTAGCACTATAAAGTCGGCATCAGTTCCGCGCTATCACAAGGAGACAAACACGAACATATCGCAGACTCCCAAAAGACACATGCATACACTACATGCATACATCTTGCACACAGGGGAGGCCGTCCTTAAATGACCATAGCTGTTGATAGGACGTTAAACAATACTAAACCAAACCAAACCAAACTTTATAGTCTACACAAGAGTCGTTCTGATATCTAACCTTATTATCCTATTTATTAAAAGGCGACACAAAACTGGATTACTCCCAGCTGCATTTGCGTGCTTTTGTCACCTAGAAATAACCTGTCTAAATTTTACTAATGCATGGTAGCATTAAATATCATGTTTAGAAGTTCAAAACATCATGTAAGGAGTTGCCACTCGGTCTGTTTCCCGACCCTAACCCTGCGATAATATTACGTTAACAAAACATATTTTTAACTTTTACGAATGAAGATAGGGAAAACCGGATATTTTGATTGGTTGATTCGTTAACAAAACTAATAACTTAGAAATATATCATATATATTATAGAACCAGAACGAATTTAAAACATGCTAATAACTGTATTTCATTCAGTAGTTTATAACTTGAACACACGGTCACACCACAGCAAGTGTTGTTATTTACCACAGCAGACGAGACCCTTACAGTGGTGGGGACAATGATATGATTACTATGTTAAGTTACGCTGCAATAATCTCTCAAGCCATGATCAGTATTTCATGTTTTATTGCCCTGTTCCCCTGTTCTCATCAACAGGGATGTCCACTTGAGGATATTGTCAGCACTCCCCTCCTCTGGTCTGTTGACATCATATTCTGCGGGAAGTTAGCGTTTTGTCAATTAACAATGTTATAGTCATTAATTCGTCTGATATGAACGGGTCTGGGAACCTACAAGGAGACCATAATATCTCAATGACGAGGATTCCACAAAATGTATTTATAAAACTAAGGCAAACTTTGTAGAAGACAATTAGTAAGATGTGGTTAGGCTATGTGAGAAAGTTAGAATAAACGTTTGTAATTGTATCTTCCTTCCTCTATGTTTTAACTATTACGCAATTATTATTTTTTTCTACAGGCAAAATTATTAAGTTACTAACTCTTCCAAATATAATACACATAAGCTACTGAATGTAAATAAGCAGCACTAAGCAAATCAAGTGAATATCCTATACTCCGTGTCTATACCCTGTGTCTATATCTAGCTGTGTGGTTAGCACCGAGTTACGGAATGAGAAGTCAGTATAAAAATGCAACACATTTAAAAAATACTCTCAATTACTTTCAAAGTTTATTTTCATGTAATATCGATTAAATGGGTTCGATCAAAACAGGTTACGGATCCATCGATTGTATACATCACGTGATGTTCGTATCCCCAACACGTTTTGTATGAAAGGAATGTTGTACAACACGTGAAACAGGTATAATAGTTATGTAAAGTCACCAGATAGCTAGACGACGATATACAACGTACCCCTGGACAATCGACAATGATCTACAACGTACCCCTAGACAATCGACAACGATCAACAACGTACCCCTGAACAGTCGACAACGATCTACAACGTACCCCCCGACAATCGACAACGATATACAACGTACCCCTAGACAATCGACAATGATCTACAACGTACCCCTGGACAAACGACAACGATCCACAACGTACCCCTAGACAATCGACAACGATCAACAACGTACCCTTAAACAATCGACAGCGATCTACAACGTACCCCTAGACAATCGACAACGATCAACAACGTATCCCTAGACAATCGACAACGATATACAACGTACCCCTAGACAATCGACAACGATCAACAACGTACCCCTGAACAATCGACAACGATCAACAACGTACCCCTAGACAATCGACAACGATATACAACGTACCCCTAGACAATCGACAACGATCNACAACGTACCCCTGGACAATCGACAACGATCTACAACTTACCCCTGGACAGTCGACAACGATCAACAACGTACCCCTTGACAATCGACAACGATCGACAACGTACCCCTGGACAATCGACAACGATCTACAACGTACCCCTGAACAATCGACAACGATCTACAACGTACCCCTGGACAGTCGACAACGATCAACAACGTCCCCCTTGACAATCGACAACGATCGACAACGTACCCCTGGACAATCGACAACGATCTACAACTTACCCCGGGACAGTCGACAACGATCAACAACGTACCCCTTGATAATCGACAACGATCGACAACGTACCCCTGGACAATCGACAACGATCTACAACGTCCCCCTGGACAATCGACAACGATCTACAACGTACCCCTGGACAATCGACAACAATCTACAACGTACCCCTGGATAATCGACAACGAGAATCACCTAAATTCTTTAAAGCAGAATTTCAAATTTACGTAAAACTGTTAAAACAAGGACTCTGTCTTATGATGCTACGCGCACACAGGATAAACATCTGAACCTCTTCTTGTACTCGGGCGTCTTATCACATTTATTTAAAAACGGCTTCAGCTTTACTTCTTATTTCAGCTAATCCCTCTGAAAATAATTTGATTAATTTGAATTGAAACTGGATGGCATAATCTCTTTTCTTGTAATGACAAAATTACCGGTCTCAGTACATCATACCACAGTTACTCAATTTATGCAAAAACAAATACGTCATACCTTAATTAAACAGCATTTTCTATTCAAATTGTTAATTAGAAGATTGTTCATGTTAATACATTTAACCATCTTAACTCGGCAACAGCCACTTAAAAATACATCATGCGGCACTAACTCAGTAGATGTCGTTAGTACTACTGAGTTAGTACCATATGGTGTATTTACAGTATTACTTTGTAATAACACAGTATTTCCATAAAAATACACCATACGATTGTATGTCAGCTCCTTATTGTACATCATATAAGACTGCACTGTACTACCGGATAGATAATGGATAGGATATCACGTTTTTAGAGTTCATATGTAAATTTCAAATTGGTATCCTTCAACCCCGTCTCCAGCATGGCGTCAAACATTTCATTTTGGGCGACAGTGAACCAGTTTTTCCAGTCTCCTACGGTACCTGTGAACAAGAGAGGAGATATCGTAACAAAGCACGTTAAAACGGTTTACTGAGACGAAAAGACACATTTAAAGTCACGAGGAACTATACATCCAAAAGAGCCAAGCTTCAACACTGGTTTGAACAGTGTATCCAATTTGTTAGATAAATTTACTTTACATGGTATCAGAGGAGGGTTACCTTTCCTGAATATGAAGTTGGTTCCGTCCTTTGAAACTTTGCTGAGTATATCCACACCTTTCTTGCCTGATGTTGTTGCGTCCGCAAGGTTTTTGAACGAACAATTGTCAGCGATTTCCTCCATAAGTTTGGGGCTTATTTCTTTATTAAAAAAAGCTGCCATACGCTTAATTTCTACAACTGGATTCTGAAAAATAAATAGCATTGCTTCTTAAAGCAAAATGTTTAAGTTCAATATAAAACGTGATAATATGTATACATTAGGTAATGGGAAAGTTGTAGTTATTGAGCATTAACTCTAAAGCATGATACCTTTTTCAAATCTTCGTAAAACACAGTATGGATATTTGTTGCAGTTTTTGCCTGTTTTGACATCGCCCACTCTCGTTCATAGCCGATATAACCCCCATAGAAATCTGGAACATGAAAAGTAGAGGAATCAGTGACAAAGTATCTAATACACATGTACATTACACAAACCGCTTATATCTATGTATATGGCGACAAACATTTTTTAAATAATTGTTCAGAAGACATGTCACGAGTCTTGATTTATAACGATTTATACGTAATCTTTTACTTTTTTCATATCCCCAATTGATCGGGAGACAAAATTGACTATATTTCAAGTTAATTCATTATCAATTAAAACCCCGCAGATTATAATATTTACTGATTTTTTGTCTGACGTCACTCACAATACTTTCTTTCTGTTGTTGTTAAATATGCATCCCTACAAACATCATCAGACAAACAAACAAAAAATAAAAAAATGTTGCTCTTACCAGACATAAACATGCATTGTTGTTATCAATGAACTTAAATATACATTGTAGACTAAAATATACATTGTTCCTATCATTAGACTTAAACATACATTGTAGACTAAAATATACATTGTTTTTATCATTAGACTTAAACATACATTGTAGACTAAAATATACATTGTTGCTATCATTAGACTTAAACATACATTGAAGACTAAAATATACATTGTTGCTATCATTAGAATTAAACATACATTGTTGCCATAATTCGAAAAAAATACGTTGTTGCTGTTCTCAGATTAAAACATGTAGGACATACTATGCTTGTTTGCACACATGTCTTCGATAAAGTTGTTCCATGTCCCGGGGAAGTCTTCCTCTGTACAGGCCGTTAATGGGTCATTCTGGCAGTGGTTGTAAAAGGACACCATCACATCTTTAGGGTTCCTTATAACATGGATGATTTTGTATCCATTATCTACATGCTTCTTTGGGAGATGACGAAATGTAAGATGCGTGTTGAGGAAACGCGGAGAGGGTTGCTCATGCATTTGTTCAATATCGGCAGACTCCATCATCGTGTGTATCTTATGACCACTGGTGTACTGTGCCCCTCCTTGTAGAATCATCGACACAATCTCGTGTACCCAGTGTGTTCCTGTAACAAATCATCGCCTTATTCTTTTTATTTTTATTGATTTGAAATATAAATATTTAGGAGAAAAATATTTCTGATTGTTGAAATGCTTCAGATGGCATTATATACCAGATTTAAATTGTTTGAATTTTAACTGCTATCAAATGATGATCGTAATATCTAAATCTGAATTTCAGTAATATGTATTTTTTATGATTTCTTTAATCAAGCTATCGAAACAAACACGTCTTCTACAATTGATTGATAAAACTTATTTTCTACGGTGGTTTTTGTTAGCAATTTCAGATGAAGGAAGTTCTGATAAAATATATGAACAGATGATATATATTTGATGATAACGAATAGTTAGAGTTGAAAGCAGGCACAAAATAGCCCGAATAACCCCAACTTAATCTTAACTACCTACATTTTAGTATTATAAGAAAGGTGACTATTTGAACATATCACAAATTCAAAATAAGCTATAATTATCATGTATTTGAAGTAAATTATGTGTTAACTATTTGATGTTACTTTTTATGGGCTATTTGATGTGAACTCTTAACTGGTCTTTGATTGTAATAAATTCTGATAGTCTCCTAACTTCGGAGTTTATATATCACAGCTGATTCGGTATACACGAGCTTGCTCCCAATAGCATGACTTCTGTGATAGATGTCGACTGCTGACGGACAAACACACAACACAGAGCTTCCAATAGCATGACTTCTGTGATAGATGTCGACTACTGACGGACAACACATGTACACAACACAGAGCTTCCAATAGCATGACTTCTGTGATAGATGTCGACTACTGACGGACAACACACAACACAGAGCTTCCAAGGATGCAGGTGGATGAGGACTATAGGCAAGTTTTATGGTCGTCATCAACAAGGAAATAAGATATTTCTTTGTGTGATAGGAAGGTCGATGTTTTTTTTAATAATGTCAATTAGTGAGCCTTGTGGTTTTGTTGTCACTAACCGTGCTCTCCATGTGAGGACGTGACATTACTTGGAGGTGACCTAGATTTACATGGCGGGAGCCGTCGATGAAGCAGTAGACGCTTCCCTTACGAAACACATGGTCTTATTCTCCTTGTGCTTTTTCAAGGGTCTCCAAATCAATCTTACATTTGTTTTGTTTTATACAAATTCAATATATTATATATCTAAAACAAATGGTTTATGTGAGTTCTTTGTAACTTTGGGCTCATTCTTTGTTTAGGGGATAGTACGTTGTTTTGAGTGGCTATACTGGCGATAAGAACATGAAATTTGGTTTGAACTCGAGACCGATAGGTAGAGAGTTTAAACCAAACTTCATGTTCTAATCCTCAGTATAGACACGAAAAACAACGTACTATCCCCATTCTAACACACCTTTACGAATATACTAAGCTAATATGTTTAGAAACATTGTATTTCCTTGTACAAAAGTACGTAGTACAGTACTTTGTGACCTGAACTGGCGACGTGTCATTCTGCAGCGGACTGACCAATCGGAAAGATGCTTTCAAAAGTCGGTCATTTGGCCCCGCCCATACTGGCGAGCGCTCGATCTGTATGTTAACGAGGCGGAATATTTGGATTGTTCGTGAACGTCCTGTTACCAAAGTTTATACGACACATTTGGACTAATATTGACAAAATTCTTACATTTCCATGTCAGTATGCATACCAATCTGTGCTTATCAACAAAATCGGTGATTATTTGTATAGATTTGTGAAGAGTTTTGTGTCAATTCATATGACACATGTAAAATGTTTCATTTGATTTCGGATCTGACTAGATGCTTTCACACGGATGGAACGAACGTTTCAGTAATAAATGGAGGTAAGAACAAGGAATGTTTTCTTTTTAATTCATTCAACAAATACATTTCATTGGTCGTTTCTGTTCTGTTGCCTGCTAGCCTCAGCGGGATTTCGCTAAGAGGCGAGCTTGACGCCATATTGTTTTGGTTAGAAACGGGGCGTGTCTTAAGTGCGATAGGAGGAGCTTAACACGATTGATCATGATTCTATCGCAGATTAGAACATGGTTCGTATCCAATCAAAACACGCGTTGCAAACGAATCGTGTTAGAATATATATTTGATGAAAGTTTGTTGTTTGCAATTTAATGTAATATCGTTGTTGCTTATTTTAAGTATTTTTTTGTAAGATATTTAATGTAAGCTAATAAATGTGATTTGTTTGTTACTGTAGGATATTTAATTACTTACATGTGTTATATTCTTTTTATAATATTTACAATTTTGCCACCATTACTAACATTTGGTATCACAGTTAAAAACAAGACACGTGACGGCTTCTTACCTGATTTGGGAAATGTACAGAGTAGTATATCTGATTCCCTTGACTCGAAATTCCTTATTGCCTCCATGTGTTTTTGTGGATCAGGAAATAGCGGTCCGAATTTCGGAAGCATACAACCATCGTAAGTGGGATGTTTTTTGCTCCACATATTGTTTAAGTATTGTTTTATTATCTCAGGATCAAGCGCAGAGGGATTCATCTTATTTCCTATTTATCTGTAATGATAGAAAACATCTCAATTTATATTGCATGAAAATATTAGAAAAAATAATAATGAGCATGTTAAGATGTACTGATTATAGAGATTCTTAGCTTAGTGCAGCTTACTTAATGCTGACAGTGCAACTTTCAATTGAAATTTAACAAACAAGCAAAAGAATCTTGTATTAAGATCTCCCCCAGGGACAATCTTTTACGGTTGTCGTATCTAAGGAAGCGCTGACATTTTAGAATGTACAGCGTTTTTTATACCCAGCGAGACATGCTCGTTACCAAGCAAGGACAAACTAAAATGTCGGCACTTCCTTAGAAACGATAGCCGGAATAGATAGTCATTGGGGAAGATATCAAAAACCAGAACATAATATAAAATGTTTTTTTTTATTTTAAATCTCAATTGAAAGCTTTTTATCTTTCACTGACAGCATTGACCACAGACGATTCTTTATCTAGTGCAGCCTATTTCGACTGTAACAAACCACAACATGCAAAGGTTTTACCTAGTGCAGCATATTTAGAATGTGAAATCAACACCACAAAAGTGTCAATACAGCCACAGCCATTCCGGGTTGATCGTAGCCAAATCCCAGCGGTTCATCTTTCCACCACCTCTTTGATGTAAGAGTTTCTACTTTATCTTCAAATTCATCCTCCAAAAAAGTATGGAACATGATTCGGAAAATAGCTGGAAAAAGGAAATCATCACCATCCTCCCATCTCATAAATAAAAACAAAGTGTTCTCTTCAAAATCTGAAATTGCAGACGAAATCGGTTCTAAATCCCCGCAAAAAGATTCCTGCCAGTCTGAATTGTAAAACTTCCAACACGGAAAGCCTTCAGTATCATCATCATTGCACTTTTTTTCTATTTATTCTTTTAATAATTTTACTCATTGTATACCAGGTTTTTCATTAATCGTTGACACTGCCATGCCTTTTGAAAAGTTAATCTCTTTATATCTCTGTAGTAGTAGTTTTCTCTCAAGGTATATACAATTGAGCAATTGTCAAGCGTTCTATTTGAGATGTGGTTATATTTGTATATTGTGTAACTAATCAGAGACAGTGAAAGGTTAAATTCTTTGCACTTCGTATCAAATATCTTATATCCTATCACAACGAATACATATTTCTTAACTGAACATTGCAAAATATTTTTCGTAGAATCTCATTGATCAAATTCCACAATGAGTGTACTTCTTGACATTCAATGAAATAGTGCATATAATTATCCTTAACTTTACATATATATCAATTATCATTATTATTGCATCTTTAAAGGAAGATTCAATTTGGAGAATATTGTGGAAGAGCTTCCATTTAAATATGTTTCCTTCCATTCTTTTGGTATAGCTTTCTTTACATGACTTACTCCTCTTTTAACTGTCGGTTTATCTTAATTTTATTTATACCGCCATCCTTATCTAGTATATCGTTGATAAAAGTTAGGCCAGACTCAATCCATTTCTTGAAATTAGCGAACTTCCATTAATTCCGATATTTTTATTTCTCAAAATGATCTCCCGGCGAATTCCCTTATAATCATATTAAAAGGTAGTGTATTAATTTCTCTAAGTTTCAACCATGCTTGTAGGATACCAGTGTAAAGTTGTGGTACATTATATTTTGGAAGGTTACTTATGTGTCCATGGGACATAATAAACACAATACTGGCGCCACCGAGCTTTTCCAAATACTAATTTGGAATCCCCTAACAACAGGCGTTTTGTTGCAATAAAATTGATTTAAACTAACAGGCGTCTACAGGAGGTACTAACCTTCGTATCCAGGATGCCCTTTAAACATCTATCTGGGATTCAATGTCGCGTATAGATAGCCCGCCTTCCGATTTATCACCTTTCATAACACTACGTTTAACACGGTCTGGTCCATTGTTCCAAATAAAACGATATATTTTCCCCATAGCTTCGTAACTTGTTCTTTACTCATATATTGGACACTTGGTAAGTATGTAATCTGTGGTATTTTTAAAGCCTGAACAATTACATAATATGTATATATATATATATTATGTCTTTTAGGTATCAAAATAAAAGGTTAGAATTTAAACCATTAGTTTAAATGTAGTAGTTGTTTTCCCTAGTTTGATTATTAATTTGATAATACCAACTTGTTTATATGTGTTCTAATATATATGTCTATGCTTGTACCACTGTTGTTTTTTTTATAATGGGAATAAATTGGTATTAGCTTAACTTATCTACCCTATATTGATATAATCACGTACCCATTCCTACACGGCCACCAGATACATGTACACTATATCACCGTGCTATGAACGCTACTGTTCTTACTCGTTTTAATATCCACACACGCACCTATATACTCCTTACTTACAATATTACCAACATATTATACTCACACCATGCACTCCCAATTGTTCCGCCCCAATAATACATCCCACTCTTCACGTCAGCACACACAAGTTTTGACTATAGCCCCTCGTGTTAACCTCATAATGGAATATTCCATTTTCCTTTTACCTGAACACGTGTTCCGTGTTTACTACACTGACACAGATATTTATATTTTCTGTCTGACATCTATATATCATATGTGTCGTCCATGTACCGCTATCACCATCTGTCATATATATATATATCCAAACAATAGGTGCTACGCGGTTGTAAGGTACCCGTATATATATATATATGTAGGCCAGCATGTCTGACCCCTCATGCTACCATCGTAATGGAACCTTCCCATCGAGCAATGTTGTGTTTCTCACCTGTTAAGTTCGACATGTTTACACGTTATCACCGCACGATAGGTCAGTCAACCCGTTACAGAGCTAACACACATATATTCTACAGATGTGCATTTGTGTGCACCACATTAAAATATAAACTGTGATTTGTCATATAATGTAATATAAAGTATGATTATTTAGACAACCC